ACAATCCTGTAATTTTAGAATCTCGTGTATCGTCAGTGAAGCCATAAAGACATCGGTGAATATGACAATAATAAACACAGTTGACCATACTGACGATTAGAGTCCTTACACTTAACCCGTGAAACAATTACCAGACTACTGGAGGCTTTGACCATGCAATGAAAATGATCATTTAGTTAGCATTTGTTGGTAAAACAATAGATTCATAGCTTGATAATCTTTCACGGTCAAATGAAATCAACTCCAGTTATGTTTTCGTTTCGTTCAGCTGGAGTATTACACAATAACAGTTTGCGTTTCACGGGTCAAATGTAAGGACACTAACCGTCTGCAAGTGTTTGATAGTGTCTATGAGTGAAGTCTAAAAAAAAAAATCGTGAAATAGATTACACACTAATACACCTTAGAACGCTCTAATTACATTCTTTTCGTTTGTAACTATTTGACTATGAAAAAAAATACTATTTGACTATCAGCCTTTTATTGTGAAATTTCGTTTCACGGGTTTAATGCCCTCGCTCTAGTAGTGATCGTGCCACAGTTCGATAAAAAACACTTTCTTATTACTATTTGTTTGGTAGATTAGTGACAATGCACTTAACCCGTGAACCACTACCTAAAAGTCACTACGTGGTGTAACGTACTGAACTAGAGGGATGTAACAAATCTTTCATTTATGTTGCGGAGTCAGTCTAAACGTCACGCAGCCTGACGTTTAGTCCCAGAACTAAAAAAGTCGATTGCCTGACGTTTAGTTCTGGGACTAAACGTCAGGCAGTCGAATAAAGTCAAAGTGCCGTGCTTGTGACCGGGGCTTATGACTATTCAAACTTGTCGAATAGTATTATTTAGTGTAGGTCTTTATAGTGTATTTCCCTCGTTGTATTAAACTACAGTGAGGTCTAAACTGCAAAAAAACTAAAAAGATGGAACAGAGTGAGGTCATTGAAATAGGTACGATTAGTAGTTCAAGATATAATGCGCTCAAATTGTATTTTCTTCTCCATTAATTGTCTTTTTAATTATCACACATTAATAGTTAAATCTTATTTCACGGGTTTAATGCCTTCAATACAGTTTGATATCAATTCTAAGTTGTACTGAATTATGCTAATTCCTTATCTCTCTCTTGTCTAAGAAAACAATRGRATAATCGCTACAATGATTAGACTYGTTGSTGGAAATAATACTATAAAAATCAAATATTTAAATAGTTTCCTAACATTAGATGGCATAAAAGARTCATGAAAGGTGAGACACTTTTTACCTCAATTTGAGGATGACATCATCACCGATCAAGAAGAAAGGAGCCCAGTACGTGGGAAACCGAAACTCCGAGACTTTTTCCTTTTTTTTNAAAATCAATGAACTTGTGAAATAGATATTACACTAATATATCTAAGCACGTTCTAAATACATTGTTTTCTTTCATGTGTATTTGACTATCACAGTTATCCGAGTCAAATTTTGTTTCGCGACCTTAATCAATTCACTCTAGTGCTTGCTCTAAAAAACATGTCAAACAAAATAATCTAAAGTATGAAAGTGTGAAGGTAAAATCGACATCAAAGAAAACAATAATAGAATAGTCGCTATAACGATTAGACTTGTTGCTAGAACTAGAATTAATACTATAAATATCAAGTGAAATGCATATTTAACTGTTTTAACCTGTCATTAGATGGTATAAAAGAGTCATAAAAAGTAAGACTCTTTTTACCTCAAATTCAGGATGACGTCATCCCCGATCAAGAAAAAAGGAGCCCAGTACTTGGGATCCCTGTGGCCTTCTTTTCTA